AAAAGGTATATGTGAATTTTAGCAGGGTATATATTTTCAGATTGAGACTCCAAATTTCAGCATCAGTCGTTTTCAGCATCAGCTGTGACAATAATTGTTGTGTATTGGCGATAACCTGCATAATTAAAATAGATGCCAAGTAAAAAATATATATATATACAATTTACCCCATAGTGATAGGGTTGAAAAATCCTGTCCGTTATACCGTATTTTCATGAAATAATGGGCATGGGCGTTATTTCAAAAATTGTAACCCTTAAAAATAATTTATATGGCTTCAAAATAACGCCCATGCGCGTCCAGAAATAACGCACGTCCCATAGTAAGAAGTATTTATTTATAGTAATATTAAAAAATGCTTCGAAACTAGGTTTGATACTAAGTAAACTTAGTTTCGAAGCGGTTTTGTTTTATATAAGAAGATACTTAAAACTTTTAGATTTGTTTCCATGCGCGTACTCGAAATAACGCGCAGGTGGGCGTTATTTCGCGAAAATACGGTACTTCAGATATCTGGATTAATGATGCGGTAGAATCGTCCCAATGATAGTCATCACATTGCCATAACTTGCCGTAACTATAGCAAAGCAATATAGTAAGTTACAGCTATAATGCCGTAACTTACTATACTACTTGCTATAGTTACGGCAAGTTACGGCAATGTGATGACTATCATTGGGACAATTCTACCGCATCAGTTAAGTAATAATTTTAACTATTTCAGATAATCTGAAATAGCTACTCCAGATGTAACACATGTAACACATGTATGTTAACAATAACGATAAACTAATTTTATTATTCATATATACTGTTATATACTGTAGTGCATCCAAATTTTAGGTATTCTCAATATCTGATATTGATTTATGAAATCATGATTTTATTTTTATTAACGTTATTAACGTATAAATAAATGTTAGATGCATTTTGGTGCTGGATGAGGCAAAACTACCATTAGCCGATCCACCCCTCCTAAATCGCTTTGAAAAGCAAAGACTTACGCTAAATGAAACACTCTCAAATCATGAAAAAAGACTTGTTGAACGCCTAAAAGATTGGACCAGGGAAATTTCGACTATTGTTGAAAGTGAAGATGATACTAAAAGTCTGTTCAATGAAACAGACATGTTTATTGGTTTCTCTTCAGAAGAAACCTTACAGAGTTTAGTTATAGACCAATATGGAAAAAATCCTGATCTCGATGATGATGCGATTATTCATGCTTGCAAAGAAGCCCTGATTTCAATAGCCACTTCGGATGGTATTGTAAGAACTAATAAATCGTATTTAAAAATAAGTGAAGGACAGGAAGTAAAGGATTGGCAGGACTTTTATTTCCGGAATAAACGACATAGTAGTATTCGAGATTTTTACCAATTTTCATTAAATAACAATTCAGAAAATCATCTGGTAATCATAAATACCTTTTCTAACATCAACACTGATATTAAATCGTGTCTACAAGATATTATAAATTGCCAAATAGACAAACTTTCGACTTTCAAGTCAGAAGCTGAGCTTCAAAATCAAATTAAACGTTTTTATGAATCCGATAATGATTTATATATCCTGCAGTGTGATCCTTTAACTGTAAAAGCAGGATGCATCAGATTAGCAAAGTTTATAATTGAACAGTATGGAAATGAACTCACGGAAAAGGCACAAAGAATCAAATCGGTTAAACGCGCATGTGTAATTATTCATTTTAACCGACAATTCGATAAGAATAGTACAGATTTATTTAATTTTATGTGTGGTTGGAGTCAAGTTACCATTGAAAATTTGGTTTCTTCAGAAAGATCACTCCCACTACTTCTTAATTCAACTATTAGCGATATTCTCAATGAGGAGTTTTCGTTTGAACAAATTTTAAGCCAAGAATTATTATGGTGTCTGCTTTGCGTTAAACATACATCGAGAAAGTCCGTAGAGCATTTAAAGTAAGTAGATATACTAATATATGTAATATATATATATATATTTTTTTTTTTTACAACCCTTTGATCAATTATATTTAAATGAACTTTTTATTTTAGACAACTGGTACAAAATATTCCTAAAAGTAAAAAACTCATAAAATGTTTAAAAATTCGAACAGAAGAGTGGTTGCAAGCTAATTCTTCAAATCAATGGCAATTAGACATTGCATTAAATCAAAAATCATTATCTTTACATTCTTCATTCTCGGTAGCCCTCGAGACATACGTAAGATTCTTAATTAGAAAGCCTATCGCTAAATTACTTTACCTACTGGATCGATATCATGCAATAACTCTCTTTTTCTCGTGGGATAATGATACGAATGAATCAAACGAAAACGAATTATTTAATTTTTGGGAACAAATCTTCATGAACAAAAAGATTATAAACATTGATGATATGCTTATGGATCCTCGTCCAAATTTATATAGCATCTCGGGAAATTATTTGAATCTTCGATTCCCTTTTTCTTCTTATTTCATGGAACAGATTGATCAGTATAAAAAACTTTATAATGAAGAACTAGATATCTTGTACGAGCAACCTGAAAATTTGGATGAGAATGAGAATTTACGTTCAGAAATAATGGAAGTATTTCTCGAAAAATTCTCAAATAATATTCTGACAGCGATTCCAGCTATGACGCCAACAATCCTACAAGTCGCTGGCAACTTGTACTTTGAAGATTTTGTAACGATTTCATCTACAAATTCCGGATATCCGAACGAATCTGATGTGAAATTGCTACTATTTCTTTTTCGCCGTTCATGTGATAATGAAACATTAAACGATCCAATCAAATTACACGTATTTTGGTGGACAAGTTCTGATGCTCTTATCGCTGAACTAGAATTGGCCCGAATGTGTCCTTCGATCATGGAACTCATATCCAAAGAAGATATCAATGATGAGAATGCACGCTTTGGAATAAATTTAATAGATCAAGTATGTAAAATGATGCTGGAAAACATTATGAAATTAAAAAATGAAAACGCTGATGAGATCATTGCCACAAATGATTTACGAGAATGGCAACGACAAGTTACTAATATTTTATCTCTAAGTGCAAATATTGAAACGTCTTCAGAATCAAAAACTCTGCAATTTTTACGTATTTGTAATGATTTGATTTCAACGCAACTGATCAACATTTCAGACATAGTCGGTGCCATTAACGTTAAACGTGAACCTGATCCGGACAACCAAGAACCTGATCCAGGCAATCAAGAACCTAATCCAGATAACCAAGAACCTAATTCAGACATGGTTGATGACATTAATACTAATACTCAACCAGAACTCGATTTGAATAATCTGGAAAATATACTTTCCCAAGAATTTGTTGATCGTATATTGGAGCTTTTTGAAAATATTCCGTCTACAGAGCGGATCATAACTTCACAATGTTCGTTCTTTCGCAGATGTTTTGATATCATTCCATTCGATTCACCAGTACGAATTAAACTTTATGAAATACTTTTTGGACGAGAACCACGTGTGCTCCTTGGTTCTGTTTTATCACGAGCTTTACTTTTAGAAGAAAGCTTGCAACCAGGAATTTTTATTCAACTAATTCAAAACGCAAGAGCCACTTTAATTCGTTCTCCGACCTTAACCGCCATTAATACCGCTCTTGGAAAAAGTGGTGTTGATTCACCGATTATGGCTTTATGTTGTGATGTAATGCAAAATGACTTTTTTGCAAAATGGGATATTAAGAATTTGGTAAACAGCTATAGAGACGCTATCAACGTTTTATGTAGTCAAAATTTCGAACTTTTGCAATTGGTTATTGCTGTCGCTTTACTTAAAGAATTTGTAAATTATCTTTGGAGTTCACTAGAATCTGTCCAAAACACGGAAATGGAGCATATGATGTTTAATGACGAAATAGAAAATATCGATGAAGTGATTGATAATATTAATCTAGCTATGGAACGTCAGTCACTTCTCATTCGTTCACTCAAGCTATATTTTCTTCGTGATTTGTATGTCAAAGGACTTTCATTGCACGGTATTAAATGTTTTTGTGAAATACAACGCAGAACATTTCCATGGTTGACTGATTTTGATTGGGGCGAAAGCAACAGCAAGATTAACTTTGTAGCTTATCGCTGTTACAATCAATACATAGAAGCAGAAGAAGCGTTTACTCCACTGTATAAACGTGGTCAACATATGCAATTCGAACAATTTTTGAATAGCGTTTCAAATAACTTGACAATAGGCGCCAAAATGTCTATAATTGGAATTTTGATCACCCGCCTCTATGATATACGTGCAATACGAGAACCGAATCTTAATGAAGAAAATGAAATAA